AATATTTCATATAAGTAATTTTTATTTTTTTTCTAATTCAAGACGAGTTTAAACAACTTCATAACTTTAATTTAGTGCATAAGCTTTAAAGTTAAATTCATCAATTTCTATGAAAGCGTTTATACATCTATTTAATGCTCAATTCATAATTTAGTTCATAATGGATAACCTTAAAAGTTCCCAACTTTTAACTTTTATGCATTAAATTATGAAAAAACTGGACCTTTCGAGTTCTGTCAGTGTCAAATTTCAAAAAATCAATAGAATAAATTTCAAAAATTATGTATTAAATTATGAAGTTGTTTAAACTGGGGTATTGAGTTATGTATTAAATTACGCATTAAATTATGAAAAAATTACGACTTAAATTTATCAAAAGTTGTTTGAATCCGCCTTCAGTGGCGCCCTTGCTATTCTGTACTTATTAAACTATTAACCCACCCCTAATAATTATTCGTTGAGCAAACCGAGCATATTATGGGCATCTTGTTAATTTATTAACAAAAGGGATTACAACAGTCTTGACGAAGCTGAAGAAATGCTTCAGAAACTTCAGAATTACACGCAAGAAATGGGCCTAAAAAAGAACTTCTCCAAAACCAAAATGATGACTAACCTGGTTTTCAGAGAGCAAATACAGATAGGCAATAATAACATAGAAATAGTGGAGAAGTACGCATACCTGATGAGATGAGAATCCAGATAACCAAACATGCGAATTGACGAAAAGAATAACCTTGGGATGGGCAGCATTCAAAAAAAATAGGGATGTGTTCATGGCTGATATTCCAATATCCCTGAAACGAAAAGCATTCAACCAGTGTATCCCCTCAGTCCTGACCTATGGTATGGAGACATTGACTCTCAACAAACCATCAGCAGAAAAGTTGAGAGTGACACAGAGACGAATGGAAAGAACCATGCTTGGACTGACTTTAAAAGTCCGAGTAAGGAATAATGAGATCTGCATAAGAACTGCAGGAGTGAACGATAATGTACCACGTATCACAAAACAAAAGTGGACATGGGCAGGCCACGTCGACAAGATATGAGGACAAACAAACGAAACCGAGAAAGATTTCCCACTCACTGGACAGACGACCTCAAAATGATCTTATCAAATTGGATAGCAACTGCTCAGAACAGAGACAACTGGAAAATTTTAGAGGAGGCCTATGTGCAATAATGGACGTGAAAAGAAGCTTTTTGACAATGATGAGGATGCTCATTTCCTATCTTATTCCATCTGATAAAAAGTTTACTTCTATTTTTCTTTTTGTCTATATTCAGTGGTTACCCAATAGTAGTTATTCTTGTTTATCTATTTGAATTTTCATTGTTGTTTCTATTGTTGATTTTTCTAGATTTAGTCTGCTAGTTTCACAGAAGTTTATAACTTCTTCTCCATTTAGTTTTTTGTGCTTTTTATTAATTAATTTTTTTGGTAAGTTCGGATTATTTCTTCTTTAAATTTTTTAATTACAATCTTTTTCCTTAAATATGTATGTTCAACTATGTGATAAGGATGATCTTCCACTTTCATACTACATACGTATTTGATTTTAGTTTTTTTATTTGTCAGTGTATAATGCAAAACCTTGGCTCTTGACTGTTAGGTATTTGCTTTGATATAATAGTTTTCTTTATATTACCTACGTAATACACCCCTATTATTATAATGTATTCCCCTCTGTTCGTTTTCTTATCGTTCAATATATCCCTTCTGTAGAACAAATACGGCTTTGAGATCGATAAAAACAGGCAATAGACGAATATATCACGACTTTTAAAGCTAAGAATATAACAATAAGCAAAAACTGTGAAACATCATCAACGCATTTAAATATTTATAAGCTTGCTAATTTATTGTATATTGTTAAACAACCATCATTATACTTCCCACATTTTTGTATCCAACAAGGAAAGAGCTATTAATCATAATAATTGAATAATTGAAATGATTCGATTTCAAATAAATACATATATTAGATATAACAGTAATATACCTAGACCTAATTGTCGACGAATGCTGTTTTTCCTAACTGTTATGTCGTACTCAAAAAAGTTTTCAGTACAGGGTCATATTTGAAGACTGCAAAAGTTATCTTAATTATGAAGTGACCAAAATGAGGGGCTTAAAACCTTTCCAATATTAGACAATAATATTTTCTTAAACAAACGCGTTACTATAATCTTTGAAACACTGGGAGCTTCTCCATTCTATGTGTCATTGAATTAAGTTACATTCCTAAACTGGAATTACCATGGATCGCTCTTTTCAACAAAATTTCATCCCTCGACGCAAGATCTAAAGTGTCTAATTTCACATTTCCGGGTAGTGACTCGTTTCGGTTACGAATAATAAACGCGAAATTCCGGCCAACGCGGGGTGCTGTTTGATTCGCCTTGCTGAATCAGGAGAGGGAGCTGAAACTACCCCGTTAGTTCGGTCTCTGTTTGTCTTTCGGCAATCATCCGACGATAATATCCAGTTTGTTTTTAAAGAGGGATAATGTCATCCCCGTGGAAACGACACCCCTGGATTATCAGGTTTTATTGGCTATTAAAAAGAAGTAACTAATGATTGCGATTTTGCGGATGCAAGGAAATCAATCAAAAGGAATTACGGATAATGGGTTCTAATAAATGACAAAGTCACGACGCGGAACCATAATTATCCGTTGTTTAGAGTTAAAAGTAGACCAGCGAGTAACAAAGCAACTCTTCCTGAAACAATAAAATTTACCATTAGAGAATAGGCACGACTTACGATAATTTGAATCGATTATTTCTTTGTCAGTTTTAGGGAAAATTGCTAAAGGTGGGCTGATAATTTTTTGATATTATGATGGTTTCTTTTTAGGTGAAAGTATATCTGCTCCTTGTTTGTTCAATTCACATTACAAAAAGATCTAATTTCCGAAATATCAATAACTTGTAAAATGTTTTAAGAGCGGCGTCAGATAAGAGTCAGCGCCCCATCTTTTGGGCTTTATGCCATATATTGAATATTTTTTAATCACAGTTGTGCAAATTCTCTGTAAGTGACTTGACTTACTTACAAGTAGATGGCGACATCTTCAATATCAATTTGTTTACGCAGTAATGTGAAGTGGACTAAATAATTTTATTCAGATGCAAATGAAATATTAGTATTTCACATTATTAGCTATGTGAAACAGTTTTTACTGGCGTTTGAAAGAAGTGACTACGATTCCCGAACTCAGCGACATCTTTAAGAGAAGCGCTGAACACACGTTTGGTTTGAGTCTCTGCTGAAAATGACAGCAATCACCTCCTTGTTTGGCAGATTTTGATTAATTTTGGAATGAAAACATTATACATTTTCGGCAATTTTTTTATTTTCATTTATTCCAGCATCCTCCTATGATCCGAAATTTTGGAAATTTATTGTTGGCGTGCTACTCTATGTGTTGGTCCTTTTTTGATTCGAATTCTTGACCAAAATTTGCATATTGTTGTCAACACAACTGGTAATAATTTTACAATCCGAGACGGGAAATGCTTCATTGCTGATCGAGAGGTTATATAGTTATGAAGAACTGAACCTCGAGACAGCAATGAAGTTTCCCGTCGAGGTTTGTATACTATTTTATTTTTAACCATAATTACTTGAAAAAAAAAAAAATAAATTCGTGACAACCAAATAAATGAGGTCGGGAAATGAGGACGGGGAATGAGGACGGGAAATATTTCCCTGTTCCATTTTCCATCCGTGGACGGGAAATGAGGACAGAAAAAATTTCCCGTCCTCATTTCCTGTCCTGGGACAGGTAATGGACCAGGAAAATGAAAAGATAGAAATGTGACATATATTTCATATATGGTTAAAAATAAAATACTATTACTATCGCCCAAGTTCTTTTCATATTTGTCTAGTTTTCTTTCACTTTTCAAGTTCTTGTTCCTGATGTTTTATTTCGTTGACATCATTTGAATTAATTTAGGTACTATAATTTTCCATCTTCCTTGAAATTTTTTTTTACAAGCATCTACGTAGGTATTTTCATATATTTTTTTTTCTCTCTATTGCTTTTGTTTCGAAGCACTGATAGTGGGTGAATTGCTTGCATCTACCTTGTTTTTTTTGTTTGTTTTTATAGTTGATTTTAATAGTCAAGATGTATAAGATAAGTGTGGACAGGTTAACCAGAGACGAGTTAGAATATGAAATCAGAATTAGGGGTATAGATACTGGTGGGACGGTGGATGTTTTACGTAAAACACTGCGTTCGTTGTTACAGTTGGAAAAGTCAGGTAATACGGTGCAGAGTTCGGTAGCACTCGATTCTGATGAAGAGGTTTCTGCTCGTGAAACTAAATTGACTGATTTGACAACGATTATTTCTACATTTTCTGGCTCTGTAAAGCCAACTCAACCGTCAGGTTCAAACTATAGAAGTGTACCGATTTTCAAATGGAACCTTAAGTTCTCAGGTACCTCAGACCTAAGTTTTAATCCGTTTTTACAGAAAGTAGAAGGTCTCTCAATTTCTAGAGGTGTTTCAAAGCCAGATCTTTTTCATTCAGCATCAGATTTATTTGAATCAAATGCTTTAAACTATTATCACCTAATTTCTAACTATGCTTCTGATTGGGACTCATTGGTAAAATTAATGAGAGATGAATTTGTACCGCCAAATTTTGCTGATAGATTGTGGAAACAGATTCTGGGTAAAACTCAGGGTTCAGATGAACCAATCGGTATTTTTGTGGCGGCCATGACGCAATTATTTGATAGAATGCCTGCTACAGTGTCAGACACTTTAAGATTAAAAGTTTTAAGATGCAATATGTTGCCTGTTTATCAGGAACGTTTAACGTTGCATGATATTAGTACCCCTTTTGAGCTTATTGAGTTATGTAGAAAGTTGGAAGAGACGCGTATTAGGGTAGAAGAATTTAAGCCTCCTAGAAAGGGCAATCTGACCCTGGAACCTGATTTAGATTACCAACCAGTAAAGCGGGAACAGACCAAAATGTTGTCGGTCAATGAAGTTTCTTATCCTGGTGGTGGCTCCAATTTGCCAGAACCTAGTCAGGTTTGTGCTTCAGAGGATTTTAGAGCTGAAAATATGGTTTATAATTTGAATACTAATTTTCAACATAGAAATAACAATGGATATAATAATTCACAGTATAACAATAGTCCTCAAAATGATAATAATAAATTTCAAAAGTACAGTAATAATGGTAATAATTATCAAAATTTTAATGGAAGTAGGCATAGCCAGAATCCTTCTGAATCGCATAATCATCCTGGAGCTCGGGGAAATTTAGATCATAATCTATGTTTTAAATGTAACCAGCCGAATCATTATGCTAGGAACTGGATATTTCAAATTAAAAAGTGTTTCAATTGTGGTAAATTGAATTTCACTAAAAGAACTTGTCCAGATTGTAACAGGACAAATCAAGGTTCTAATCCGGGAAACGAGCGGCGAAGCCAATCTTAGGTCGTAGGTTTGCTTCGAGCTTTGAATCGACCATATCTGATTTTAAAGATAAAATAGTATTAGATTATGTACTCGCTCATGTAGGTCCTGGTGAGTGTTCCTTTTAAGTAGTAAATATATTGGGTTCTGAATTCTATGGTCTTCAGGTGCAAATAGGACGTTTGTAGGAAAGAAGGGTTGGGACAGACTTCTAGGCTTGGGGGTTAAACTGGATACAACCAACAAAACTTCCTGTACAGTAGCTAATAATGTGAATTGTGTATGCCTGGGTACAGTGTGTGTGCCTGTGAATGTTCAGAATGTTGTGAGATTGATCGATATTTTTGTCGTCCCGGAACTGAGACATGAGTTAATTTTAGGTATAGATTTTTGGAAAAAAATTGGGTATTGTTCCTGATATGCGCCGTGGACAATGGAATTTTTCTTCAGAGCTTCTAAGTAATCCGGAAGTTTCAGTGATTCAGTCTGAATCAGATTTAACTAGGGATCAGCAATCTAGACTAGAAAGAGTCGTTTCATCTTACTTTGATAGTATCGGAGAGCGATTAGGTTGCACCTCGATTGTGAAACATAAAATCAGTATAGATAGTCCTCTTATAAAACAGAGGTATTATCCAGTGTCCCCATTTAAGCAGAGATTGATTGATATTGAGATTGACAAAATAATGGCTGCAGGTGTCATCGAAAATTCGAATTCTGCTTGGTCCTCTCCAGTTCTTTTAGTTCCTAAGAAAGATGGTGAAATGCGTTTTTGCGTTGACTTTAGGAAAGTGAATGCGCTCAGTGAGAAAGATGCTCACCCACTTCCATACATTTCAGCAATTTTGGACAAATTGGGCGGTGCTAGATTTCTGAGCTCATTGGATTTAAAGAGTGCCTATTGGCAAGTCGAATTGGAGGAAAGTAGTAGGCAATATACTGCATTTACGGTTCCTGGGCGTGGTTTATTCCAATTTTTTAGGCTTCCCTTCGGTATACACAATGCGCGCGCAACATTTCAAGAATCATCGACACAGTATTGGGTCCACAGCTTCAGCCCTTCGTATTTTGTTATTTGGATGATATCATTGTTGTCAGTCCTGATTATGACTCCCATTTAAAGATTTTGGAAACTGTTTTTCATCGCCTAAAGGCAGCGAGCTGAGCTTCGGTATTTGGGTTCTGTGGTTAATCGTCACGGTATTTTAGTTACTCCTGCTAAGATTGAGGCTATTACGAATTTACCAACTCCCAAATCAGTCACTGAGAATCGCAAAATAATTGAAATGTTGTCTTGTTATCGCCGCTTTGTGCCCTCCTTATCAGATTTAATCTTGCCGTTTACTAGCTTGCTACGTAAAGGAGCAAAATTTTCATGGAATGATAGTTGTGAAGAAGCTTTTCAAAAGGTCAAGGAGGTGTTGGTATCTGCACCAATTTTGTCTTGTCCTCGTTTTGATCAGGAATTCATTTTACAAACTGATGCATCCGCATGTGCGGTTTTATACCAAGTTTATGATGATCGTGAACATGTCATTTGCTATGTTTCTCGTAGTTTGAGTCGTCAATAACGAGTTTACTCAGCGACAGAAAGGGAGCTGTTGGCAGTTTTATTTGCCATTGAAAAATTGAGATGTTATCTGGAAGGTTCAAAGTTTTCGGTGGTGTGTGATCATTACAGTTTGCAGTGGCTAGACAATTTGAAAAATCCCCAAGGCTGATTAGGACGTTGGGCATTGAGACTCCAGCTGTTTGACTATAAAGTTATCCATAGAAAAGGTCGTGACAATGTAGTGGCTGATGCACTATCTCGTGGTGTTCCTGTGAGTTGTGAAAATGTTGAATTGGATGAGAGCGAGTTTTTGCAAACTAAGGATAAGTGGTACTTGAAGCTAAGAGAGGATATTCTTTATAATCCTTTGAAGTTTCCGTTGTGGAGAGTTGTTGGTAGTAAAATCTATAGGTACGTCCAGTAGGATTACTCTGACTTGCATGATACTTCTGATCGTTGGAAATTGGTCTTGCCTAAAGATACAAGACGCAGTGCTCTCGATTCTTGCCATACCTTACCTGTTGATGGTCATTTAGGTGTAAACGAACAGAACGGGTAAACAGAGTATTGAAGTCAATGCTATCGGCTTTTGTGTCTGAGAATCAGAGAATTTGGGATGAGTGTTTACCAGCGTCCAGCTTTGGCATGTGCAATCAACACAGCAACTCATGAGATTACAAGTAAAACACCATATTTTGTTAATTATGGTCGGGTCATGATCATGCATGGCAATGAGTATGCAAAGTCTAGGGAACTTCATAATGCGGGAGTTACGAATCCATCTGGTGAAACTTTGTCTAATAGGATAAAATCCATGGAAAAGTTAAGCAAATTTGTTTTTCAGCGTTTGGTGCGGCAAAGTACTTCACTGCTTCGCAACTCGCATGTTCAGGATTTTAAGCCTTAGTATGGACCGAATGATGTTGGTTAAGGCCGTTTTACAGCTTGCAAGAAAACTTGAATGCAATTTGTTGCATGCAAAAAATTTGCATTCAAGATTTCTTGCACATCGTTTTACACCTTGCAATTTGACTTGTTTCCTTCTCTAACCTTAACCATACTTTTTTGTTTTTAATGTTCTGTTATTAATGTTTGCATTTTCCAAAAATAAAAAAAGTAATTATAAGTTGATATAAAAAGAAGAACGCAATAGCAGCAACTTTAAGCATCATAATTGCTAAAAATTCGCAAGCTTGTACGAAAACCTTCAAGAAAAATGGCACCAAACCGATTGCATGCAATGCCATTCAAGTTTCAAGAATCTTGCAGAAACCAATCAGCTGACTCACTTCTGCGCAGGCCCTTGTTTAAGTTTCTTGCATATTGCAGATAGAATTGCAAGCTGTAAAACGGCCTTTAGTGTTTTCTTCTCCAATCTAAAAAAAAATATAGCTATAGCTTTTTTTTTTTGGTGCAAAAGGGGTGACTGTTACGGTTGAAATTTGAAAATAGTTGGGTGTCTTTACCTTTGCCATTGGCTTACATTTTTTTGCATACATTTGGAATTGTTTTGGGGCTACTTTGAGCTTCCTAGTTTGACAGTTAAATCAGCTGATTGATTTTTCATTTCGAGAGTGCGATCGATAACCACTCCAGGCGATTCTCGATACGTTCAGATCGAAAATTTTGGGTTCCGGATCGCGAATTTTGAGTTCCACTCCGTCTTGTTCTTGGTAGAGACGCTCGGCGAGTTGGTGGAACCAACCTTCAGTCTGGAGTATTCGGGGTGGAGTAACAATAATTTTTAGTGTCAGGAATTGGTCAACGTCCGGCGTTTGCACATTTGTTGATGGAAAGTCATATGTTCTTGTCTACAATAAGAAATAAGCAACGCCTGATTTTTGATTCGCCATCTTTGTCTGACTCGCTAATTTTCCAGATTTGGTCCCAATGCATAGAAGTGTTCTTTTTGCTGGCTGGATAATTGCCAACTGAAAATTGTAGTGCTAGTTTTTTATTTGTGATTTTGGCTATAGTGGAAAATTGGTCCCCAAGTAATTCATTTGGCAGTACCGGTTTCCAGTGTATTTTTGGGTACATGTTGCTAGCGATCTAGCGAAAGGGACTTGGTTCGCTCTCTTGATACTGAACCCTCAACGAGAAAACAAGGCCTCCAGGCATCAATTGAAAAGTTGTTCATTTTCGCCCTTAATTTGGGGATTTGATGGTGTCTGGATAGACGTTTGAAACCCTCAGACTTTGGAGATAGTTTTCGTATACTAACCTGTGGGTTTCTGAGCTGTATTTGGCGATTTTAGTCGTGGCCGAGTTAACACGCCATTTCTCCATCGGCAACCATTTTTGGAATCAGTACATTTGCTTTTGCAACACCCTCCTATCGAGGTAAGTTTTGGTATCTATTTTGTTGTTCCTTGTGTGTAGGGATCATCTATACATAATTCGATTCTTTTAGGGTGTTTTTCCTGGGGACTTGAACCGAGCTAGGTCGGGTTAGATAGTTGGGCCTTGAAACGTGGTAGGTACTGGTTGGTACTTTGGCTTTGTAGGCCATCAACTCCCTGGCCTTTTGAGGCTGTTGCGCACTCGATTCCTGAATCGAGTCCTGAATAGAGAACCGTGCTGGCTGACTTACAAATGAGGAATTTGGAAATTGACGATTGAATGTCAAACACACTGGACCGACGCTTTTGAACTCAGCCAAGTGCTATAATAGTCGAATTAACCTGGTCATTATTGTATCAAGGAGCCTTGGCAATTTATGGCGGAATGTTTGAACGAATGTCTTATTGAAGGTTTTAATTGTCGGAGTCTAACCTGAAACTTGCATAGAAGCATTTTCAATTGCCAAGACTGTTGAGTCAACATTATAGTTTTTTTTTTAAATATTTATTATGAACCTTTGAGTAATTAGGTCAATTTATTGGTAAGTGCCTCATGTAATTGGTTAGTACTAAAACTCGTTTGTTAGGTGAACTCGCGGCCGGCTACGTATCACTAAAGAGTTGAATTGAACTTAATAACTTTAGCAAATACATATTGGTATTCAAAGTTTTCAAGATTCAATGGTTGAATTGAATTTATTAACTTTAGCAAA